ATATTGCACCAGAAGTTTTAAAGGGAGAAACCATATAAAATGGCATCAGATGTATACGGTTTTGGAGTTCTGATGTCTGTAGTATCAACTGGAAAACAACCATTTAATAATTTGGAACATTATGTAGATCTTGCAATGAAAATATGTAGAGTAGACACTGTTGCAGATCACAAAAACAACTATTTCATTGGCCAAATTTTTGACAATCTTATTCCAAATTATTACAAAATCTAATTTTGATTGGGTTTGACAATTATTATGAATAAAAAATCACAGCATTAAAAAATTTCAACTTTTGATATATAGTCAAACACAACTTTAAAGCCAGCTTGGGATTATGGCTAGGAAAACACAATATTTGTAATAAAATTAATTATTTCATTTAGGGAAAGCAATAAAAACTATTTATTTATTATCTTTGTTTATTTGTTGTTTTATTAATATAAATAATAATAATAATAATAATAGTATGTAACAACATTCTTTCTGATTGTATAGATCCATTTTTTAATTTGAACAATAATTATATTATCCAAAAAACCTTATGTCTGCTTATTATAAATCAACTGTTATATTATCTTTCAATAAACTACAAATATAATAATAATAATAATAATAATTAAGGATACCGGCTGCAACTTTTGATGATGGTTGCTACCACCTTTGCGTCATATAAAAATGATTGCAACCACTGGTTGCAACCACCTTTACGACCATTTTGTTTCCTTTTTTGGATTGCAACATGGAACACTAGTTGGGGAATTTTAATAATCTGTTAGTATAAACTGTATTTGGATGAATTGCTGCAGTAATTGTTGAAGGATCAAATTTTATTTCATCCATTTTCTCAAACTCTTTTCTGATTGATTCTGGTTCATGACCCAGCCTATAATGTTGAAGTGAATCATTCCAAAAATCAATAATCTCAAAAATTCTTCAGCAGTTGGATGTTTATCTGGATTAGCATCCATGCATTTGAATGCTAGTTCAATATAAAATTTTGGTGTATTGTTTGAGAATCCAGGTCTTGCACCTCTATATAGCATAGTGGACACTGTTGCAGATCAAATGTGACAAAATTGATCATTGATCTTTTTTATGTTGTGAAACTTGCTATTTCAATTGTTTTAAAATAGAAAAAAAGGATTATATGTGAAAAGAAAAACTGGTGTAGTGAATCTTTTTTTTTGAATGGAAATATTTCATTATTTTTGTCTTTACTGTTTGGTTAACTAAAATCATTCAGATCATTGCTAGATCAAAAGTTAGATATGAACTGGAGTTTGGAGTAAAGTCTAGACATATGCACACAATTTATTTTCGAAATTTACCAATCTTTAATTAAATCAAAAGCATTTTTTCAAAGTCTAAAGCTATTATTTGTTCTTCACTTATATCTTTCTCCACCTTTTCATCTCCTGTTATGTGGAATTCTTCTACTTCATTCAAGGGCTCAGTCAAATTTCCTTTATTTATGTAAGAAGATACATTGGAAACTACACCTTCAAGCAATAGGTGCATGTATAATTGTAAATCTTGTTTCAGCAGGTGAAAAATAAAGCTGCATTCACCTTACGGAGTAAATGCAAGTGAATGGAGAGTATATACAATTAAATTGATTTACTGCATATTGAAGTATTGAATTTATTATATCATCAGGAAATTAATTTAGTGTAAACTTGCATAAATCTTATGATGCTGACGTAATATTGTGTAAATCTTACAGTGCCGACATAAGTTTTACACTTTTTTATTATTAAACTTACAATTGACATGTGTAAAATTTTTTTATATTTTCCGGATGTGTGTAACCCCCTTTATGACAGCGTCAAAATACTTTGGGCTGCATGTATAACATCTACCCAGGTCTCTCTGGGATTCACAGAAATAAATAAAAATCTATTACCAGGTTGACTGGTGAATCAAAAAAAAAATTTTCCCTTCTCAATTGTATAATTAGTATCTTAAAAAACCATGAATGATAAATCTGATGATATTAATAATAGGTGTCAGATTTAAATAAAAATTTCTTATTACAAAACATGCAGGGCTGTGCAATTCAGCACTTTTCAGCACCATGGAGTTTATTCCACAGGTGAAATCAACCTGAACACATTGGAAGGCTTTTGTAAGGCTGGCAAAATTTTCCATCTTCTTCTCTTTATACCAGGCTTGGCTGTTACCATATGAGAATTGATCACTTATGAGAATTGGCACTTTGTGATGTTTGCCCTATGTTATCACCATACATGCAGCCCAAAGTATTTTGACACTGTCATAAAAGGAGTTGCACATGTCATAAAGGGGCGTTACACTTATGTTTTTAATAGTGAGTACCAAAATTAATTTCTACTTTCTACCATTAAAATTGAAATAATTTTGACCATTGAAATCACTAAACCAATTTGGGCTGCATGTATAGTTATCACCCACTAGCATAAAGTTGGTGTTAAGGCTGGTTTGAAAATTCAGCAACTCAGGAGGTTGCAACCTGGTTTCTGTTTTGTTGGGACATGCTTACCTAGGGTAAGAAATGATTTGGGGAAAAGCCAATGTTCTACTACCCAAAATTATAAATTTGATGCCAGAATGTGGAAGAAATCCAACAGGCTCTTTGAAAAAGAAACAATGCATTTCAGAGCCCCAACCCACCATGAATCACAAATTCCTCCCTGAGCTTGAAACGAGTTGCAGATTTTCATTGCTGTATGTTTATGTGCACACCTAACATTACAACTCTTCAACCCAGGTTGTTTCAATCTTCGGAGTTTGGTTTCAGAGCCAGTCATCTTTACCCTAGAGGTAGGATCATTGCAAGAACTTTTCAGCCAACATGCATATTTGGGTAATTCCAGTCCAAGTACTGTGAGGGAAACTAGGTAGGGTTCGCAAGAAAATCCTCAACAATGATGTAATTTTGTTAAACTCCAGGGCCATGCCTCCATCCCCTGAAATTTAATTGCATCATCTCATCAGGGGAGCCTTGGTCAGATTAGCCTTGTGAACACAAGGAATGTGAGTAAAACATTCAGAATAGCACATGCACTTCAACACCTGTAAAGTTTCCAATAATCAAACCATTATATACTGAATTGCTTCATATCATTATTGAATTGTTTCTTCTGCAACAGTCATGTTGCCTTGACATCTTATTATTTAATATTAATATTAGTAATGGTTAAGAAAAGTAAAATGACACCAATGGTTTATTTATTATCATGATAAAGAATCTTATAATAAATACCCAAGACATACAGTTCTGCTTCACAATACAGTCAAAGCTCATTACAGTGAATCCTGTTACAGTTAACAATAGTAAAAACTTGTTACAGTGAACTTTTGTTACAATGAACAAGAATAAAATTTTTCATAAGGAACCAGGGGTTCACTGTAATGAGCTTTGACTAATACATTTATAAAGAATAATATATCAACATACAAAAATAAAATAAATAGCATACCTTGTCATTATAAACAACACACCTTTCTTTTTGAACTGATCAAGATGAGAAACATGAATGACTCTGTAAAAAAAAAATCAATTGTGTCTAGGGGCTTGTACAACCCATGACATCATAAATAATAATAATTAGTTGTCATTTGTCTTCTTTTTTCCAAAAATTATTTATTAAAAATTTTTATTAAAAAAATAATAATGCCCAAAAATTCTAAAGCAGTCATGAAAAAAAGAAAATCCAAACCAAAAACAATGAAATTATTAATGAGTAAGTGTCATTTATTAAAAAACATGGAAACAAGCCAGATGCTGCCTTAAATTTAATACTTGCATCAAGAAACTTATTGGAGGTTGGGTTTTGTGAAGTTTCGAGTCCACCTTCAGGTGATACTTTGGACTAGAGATGGGCAGATCAGTACTATATGTATAATACTATACATATAGTGATATGTATAGTGCGTATAGTTCTAGAAAAATATAGTAGTAAATGTAAATCAATTCCTGTTCAGGTTATTGCCAAATAATAGATGTGATGTTACACATAAAAATTAATTAATACTCTTTTCACAATAATATATATTTTAAACTTGCCTGCAATTTGGCAACATTTTAATATTAACATTCTAGTTCAATATCTAGATGTGAAAAACATTTACGTCTTTGTCCAAATGCCACAATTCAAATTAAAAGAAATTATTTTGGAGAACATTTTAATACTTCAAATACATGGTGTACAGGTAAATTACAACATAATTGAAGATTTCACATCAAAGAAGCTGATGAAAATTTTTATTGAAGAATCAAATAAAAATGAAAGAAGTTTTGATTTTTATGATATTTAATTCATTCAATATAATTAATGATTCATAAATAAAAACCTAAAAAAGTGTAGGTTGAATAAATTAAAGATTTATGCTTATCGTAATAGCCAAATTATTTTTTTTTATTTATTATAGTGAACCTTCCCTAAATGCACCCTCCCTAAATGCACACACTATGTATACCCTCCATAAATGCATGGTCCATCTCATCCCCAAGCTTATAGAGAGCTTATAAAATCACCCTCCATAAATGCACACCCTCCATAAATGCACGCTCACAAGAAATAGCACTATGTTCCCAAGGGGGGTGCACTTATAGAGGGTTCACTGTATTATTATTCAGTTTTGTATTACATTGGAAAATCACCCAATCAAATTTCAACACTACTATATGTACTATATGTACTATACACACTATACGTAAAGTATCGTATAGTGTCGTATAGTGTTCAACTATATGCCATTTGCCCATCTCTACTTTGGACAAATATAGAGATGATTACAACAAATTAGTATGATTTGGAGTGGATAGTAAAATTAGATCCCTTAATCATTTATTAACAATTAGTAAGTCATACTTAATAGAAAATTTAAAGGATGCCTTGAAACTTCCAGTTTTACTTATACAATGGAAAGGTTAAAAGTTATATAAAATTATTCTTAGTTTGTAATATTACATCTTAAAGATTAAAAATAACTTATTTTTAATTATAGAACTAAAAATGGAAATTTTTTTATTTTCACAAGTTGGTTGTATGAAGGACAATGATACTGGAGGTTTATTACCAATAGGACAAGTATATACATGCAGCCCAAATTGGTTTGGTGATTTCAATGGTCAAAATTATTTCAATTTTGATGGTAGAAAGTAGAAATTAATTATGGCACTCATTATTAAAAACATAAGTGTAATGCCCCTTTACAACAGTGTCAAAATACTTTGGGCTGCATGTATGGACAAGTAGCTAAATTAGACTTGATATTTCCTTCCAGCTCTCTTGAAAAAATTTACAAAATTAGGAAAAATGCTTAAAGAAATTAAGAGCAAGTATGAGAATTATATAAACAATGCTTATCAACATGAATTTGAGAGAGGATATTTAACTCCAGAACGTAATATTAGCAATGTCAGTGATATTCATATCATTGATACTAATGAAATAACTCCTAAAAAAATCCTGCTAGATGAAAAAAAACATTAACGCAAGTCACAACAATTATTGCATTGCTTTTTATGATTAAGTATTATAATAATTAATTGACGATCCGTCTATGAATGAGTGAGCTCTAGATAGGGATCGGAGGAGGAAAAATGTCACAAATTTCACCAATTGACGTCCTTGTATAAAAAAATGGTACTATACTTTAGTATTATAAAATCATATTTTTTGATTTTAGGTTATGAAACAAATGTCAAAGAACATATTTATGTATTTTTTTTTAAGAATATTGAAAAAAAAAGGGTTTACTTTTGGGATGTAGAGATGAGAGATTTTTCATATATAAAAAAGTTTTTACGTTTGTGTAATAACAACAAAAAAATATAAATTATTCACTATAATTAATCAATTTGAGTATTCAATGGATTGAAATAAAACAGATGAACAAATAAAATATAATTAAGATTGAACAAAGAATTGTGTTATGAATAGAAACACTGTTTTTGAAACTCCGAAACTATTTCAAATTCCGAAACTATTAAATTCCGAAACTGTTTTTAAATTCCAAAATTCAAAACCAAAAATGAAATCGTAAAATTTTTTTTCATTTAAATTTTATCACATGACGGGGATGTGGAATATATTTTTGCAGATCATTATATATTTCCTTCAGTTTTTAATATATAGTAAAAAGATAGACGGATCGTCAATTAAATTAATGCCTTTTTTCAAACAAAGGTCTGCAAAAAAAATTTTTTGAACTCTGCAATTTATGTTAACTTTGTCTGGTTTTGCTGCAGTATGCCTCATTTAAAATACATCTTAATTTAAAACTTTATGTTGATACAGTTTTAATAAAGAAAAAAATGAAAAAAACAGTTTTATTTATTATATTTATTTTTATATATATGCTTACCCTTATTTGTTGAATATTTGTTCAAAAATATGATTTGAATTTGATTTCATTATTGTTATATTTGATGAGAGCAATGCATTCTAAAGTTCTTTATATTAAACATGTATAAGAATTTTATAAAACTATGGCTCTTGTATATGTGTATTTTAATCTCAATAAAAGTATGATATGTTTGTATTAAAATCATCTAAATAGTTCTTTTGACCATAAATAATAAATGTTTCGCAAATTCACACTTGAATTGTTAGTTACCCCGGTAACACTATTTCCGATTAATAATCAAGTCATAAACTGATTCAAGTGCTCGATATTTATTTTTGTTAAATTGTTTTTATATATATGATCATTTACCTAATTTCTGATATGGTTTTCTAATTATTATACAAAATATTAACTTCCTGGGATTTTTATTTGAATTTTATGTATATTTGAATTGTTTTTCATATCTGATTTAAAAGATCTGATAAAAAATTTAGAAACAATCTTTAATAATGTTTTTCATATCAATTAACAAAGATAATATTCAATAAATGATTTAAATGTTCCTTTATGAATTTCCTGATGCTTGTCACCAATATTGATTGCTTTAGTTCACATGTTTCTGGGTAAGTATGTCGAACAAGCATGTTAAAGTACTAGTAGATGGTCTTTTTATTATATCTAGAAAAAAATAATAAAAAATGAATAAATAAATCAATACAACGAAATTAAACACCTTGCATATGAATTTCCTAATTTTTGTTAGAAGCATGCTTTGAACAAATCACAGATTATCGACAGATTATGAAAAGGCAAGTTTAGTACTATTTATCTCAATAACGAATTAATTTTTTTTTTAAAAAAAAAAATAACATCTTGTAAATTCATTTGTATATGAGTGGGATCTGATCGACATACCGATAGGGTAAAAAAACCCAGACTGTGCATTGCTAGCCTGACTTTTATATAACGTGATTATTCATTATATATATGTCGTCTGTATATATATCATTGAGGAAGATTATGTTGGAGAATAGAAATATAATTATTAATCTTTTTTAGTTTTTTAGGAGTTATGATTATCTTTTTTTGATTAGATTATTTCATATCTATTTATTTATTTATTATCAATTATTTACTATAAATTTTTATACTAATACATAATCATAACGCACACACATACATATCTTATTATTTATTTCTAATTCCCATTATTTGATTAATTGATGATAGTACGCAAACAATTGTACAACAAAAATAAAATAAATAATATATAAAGTTTATGGATGTTTTTTTTTTTTTTATTTTTATCTCATCAAAAAAAATATATATATATTTTAAAAAAAAATAAACAAATAAATAAAGTTTTTTTTTAAAATTATTTTTTTTATATTTTTAACTATTCTCGCTCGTGCTCATTCATTCATTAAAATTCAATCCCTTGGAAATTCTCTCGTTTAAAGAAAAATCGAATAAATCAACGAGTACAATGTGTCCAGAACCTGTTAACAATTCTAAAATATCTAGAAAAAAGGTATTATCAACAACACGAAAAGGCAATAACATTAATAATAATAATAATAATAATAGTAATAGTAATAGTAATAGTAATAATAATAATAGCAATAGTAATAGTAATGCTATTATTATCTCGTGTCGTCGGAAATCCTTCAAATCTTCTTTATCAATAGCGGCAGCAAATAATAATGGCAATAATGGTGATGGTAGTGATAGAAATAACAATAGTAAGAATAATAATAATAGGAGGAATAATAATAATGGTACAATAACAATCATTAGAAAAACCTCCAACACCAAAAGATTGTTACCGGCACCAACAATTATTATTTCCCCATCTTTGGCGACGGCGATGACGACGACGAAATCAACAAAAATAATAATACCAGTATATTTTCTACCAACAATAATTAATCGTTCCTTAAACATTTTATTAAAAAGATTTTTAGAAATCTTATCATCTTCTTTATTAATTAACAAAAATTATCAAAAATCCTCCACCCTCACCCCCACTTCCACGACCAACCACAACCACAACCAACATTATCATCAATCAATAATACAATATAGTACGTTACTAATCGAACTAGTAATTGACAAAATCTTACCTTCTATTTTACCTATTTTTTTATCACAGAGAATCGGCGGCCGTATTTTTTTTTCAAAATTGTTGATTTTATTATTTACAAAACATGTAATAAAAAATTCTAAAATTGCACCCAAACATCGATGGCTTTGTAGCAAAAATGGAATTTTAAAATCAAATTTTAAAAAGAAAAATCAATTCGTCGTCGTCGTTAATAAAAAATCAACATTAACATCATCAATAAAACCATCATCATCAACAACATCATCATCAGCAACAACAACATCATCATCAGCAACAACAACAACATCATCAAAATCAACTCGATCATTACCATCACCACCATTATTTTCCGTGAAATTTAATGATGAACCGCCAAAACTTCATATATTTAATAAATCTTTCAAAGAACAAATCCCTGTTCTACAAGTTGCCGGCCCAAGTAAAGGCAAATATAGTAGAGCAGAATTGGACGAACATAAAAAATTTATGCTGACGAAGATTCGTATTGCTGTTCGAAAGAAAAAATGGAAAAGTGTAAAGAGATTGATTAGGATTGCTTTTAAAACTTGTACATATTAATAAAAACAATAGGAAAATTATTTTATTTGGTTCATTTATTAAACAATTTTTAATGATAAAAAAGCAAAAAACCAATTTTCATATACATATAATAAATTTTTGTTTAGTTATATGTAAAAATACTAATATTAATTAAAATCTATGTAAAATATTAATAAAGGATAATAATTAAACCGATTATTTGGTGAAAGCTCCATAATTTTTTATAAAATAAGTTAATTTTATCAAGAATATTCAGGTTTCAACGTGAAATAATCTTCTTTGTGAACAAAATTAGCAACTTTTCTTGTGAGCGAGACAAGAATTTCTTTATTTCTATTGTCTTTCTCAATTTTTTTCTTAAAGGCTCTAATAATGCCTTCAATGTTTACCTTTTTTGTTCTAATTAAGACACATATTTCTTTTTCTGTAATCAAATTAGAATCGGAACTACTACTGCCAGCAGCAGGTTTTGATTTTTTCTCTGTGCTACTACCACTACTTGCACTATTATCAGGTGTTGATGTTGATGTTGATAGTTTTGGTTGTTTTGTTTTTGATGCGGAACTTTTTAATGTAGTAGATGACGATGACGGTGAACCAATGATTGCAGTTGAAGAATCAGATTTCGATTCAGTCTTAATAGTTACAGATTTGGTACTTGCTTTTGGTTTAGATGTGGTGGTGGAATTTGGTGTTGCAGGAGCTGATGAAGATGGCGTGGATGATGCTGTACCTTTTTTAGCTGAAGTTAGAGATTTATTCTTTGGTTTATCAGCAGCTGTTGTCGCAGCTGTTGCTTTGGATTTAGTGGTGGTTGATGATGAGCTTGAAGTTTTATTAGTTGTTGCTGTTGCTTTTGTTTTTGTTTGAGCTGACTTCGCACCACTTTTGGTTGTGCTTTTTCCTTTTTCCGATTTAGGAGGCGAGATTAATTTTGCAGAATTAAGACTAGATGGCAATGATTGAGAATTTTGACTTTCCTCCTCGTCGTCTGTTCCATCGAGTTCAACTGAACTTGCATAAGGATCTGATTCTTTATCACTGTCATCATATGCAACATTTTTTTCCAATGTTCTCACAAGTTTCTTGAGATTTTTTCCTTCAGCTGTTAATTTGTTTCTCTCCTTGTCTTCCTCAAATTCTTCCTCGGCAGTACCACTAAAGAATTTGGTTTTAACCAACACCGGATCTTTGACATCCTCTGGGTTTTGTAAATCAAGATTATCTTCTTCATCGTCTTCAAACACTTGTTCATAGTCCATCTCTTCGAATTCATCCTCATATTTACCATGAAATTTAGATTCTCCTTCATCATCTGATCTTATCAAGTCTGTTTCATTTTCTACAGCTTTAAGATTAGACTTATTGTCATAAATTCCACCTTCCTTCTCTGCCATTTCTCTTTCTTTATCGTTTTTACCAGATCTTCTCATGAACCATCTATCATTTTCACGTTTTTTTGCTTTTCCCATCTAAATA